ATAATGGAATATTTTTTAATCCACCTAGTTAACATACAGTGAAATATGAGTTTCAGGTGTACAATACAGTGATTCAGCATTTCCTTATATCATCCAGTGCTCATCACAACAAGTGCCCTCCTTAATCCCAATACCTATTTCACCCATCCCCCCACCTCCCTTTTGGTAATCATCAGTTTGTTCTCTGCAGTTGTGCCTATTTCTTGCTTTGCCTCTCTGTTTTTTTCCCTATGACCACTTGTTTTGTTTCTTAAATTTGACATATGAGTGAAATCCTTTGGCATTTGCCTTTCTCTGACTGATTTATTTCACTTGGCATAATACTCTAGCTCCATCATGTCATTGCAAATGATAACATTTCACTCTTTTTTTAATTAACATGTAATGTATTGTTTACTTCAGAGGTGCAGGTTTGTGAATCACGAGTCCTACACAGTTCACAGCATTGACCATAGCACATACCCTCCCCAATATCCATAACCCAGCCACCATATCCTTCCTCTCCCCCTTCCTCGAGCAACCTTCGGTTTGTTTCTTGAGATTAAGCATCTTTTATGGTTTGTCTCCCTCCCTGGTCCCATCTTCTTTCATTTTTTCCATCCTTACTCCCTGCAGCCTCTTGCTCTGCCTCTCAAATTCCTTGTATCAGACAGATCATGTGAAAATTGTCTTTCTCTGATTGACTTATTTCACTTAGCAAAACACCTTCTAGTTCCATCCATGTCGTTGCAAATGGCAATATTTCATTCTTTTTGATGGCTGAGCAATATTCCATTGTACATATAAATAACATTTTCTTTACCCATTCATCAGTCGATGGACATTGGCATCTTTCCATAATTTGGATGTTGTTGTTAATGCTGTTATGAACTTGGGGTGTATGTCGACCTTTGAATTAATATTTTGTATTCTTTTGGTTTTTTAATTGGGTTATTTGTCCTATTATTTGGTTGTTAAGAATTCTTTAACTAATTTGGATACCAGAACTTGTGAGACTTTTAGCTGCAGATACCTACACCAGCTTTAACAGTAGTGTTGTATATATTCAAATTTGTAAAATCTTTCAACTAGAATTAGAATTATCATAGTAACAGAAGACTTGACTTGTCCATTAACATTTTCTTTTGCCCCTGGGCCAAGGGAGGAGGTGTTCTGCGTCTTCTGGGAACACAGTCAGAATGGATATGGTCACTGGTCCACCAAGGGCTGCAGGATGGTAGACACCAGAGACACCAGCACCACCTGCCAGTGCACCCACCTCAGCAGTTTTACCGTCCTCATGGCCCACTATGATGTGCAGGTGAGAGCCCAGAGAGGGGCCATGGAGATAAGGATGCTAGGGACCACAGGCACCAGAAAAGAACAGATGTGATGAGAGAGGTCAGAGGGGAGCCAGGGAGAGGGGCGGCATCAAGAGACAAACCATCGTCCTCTCCTGGATGGGTGACAGTGTTACTTCTTCAGGGGACACCAAGAATTGAGATTCACAAAGGTGACAGCAGGTAAGGATCTACAAGGGGATATGAATGATAACTCTTTTAGTTAAATGGCTGGGCCTCAAGTAAATCCAGACAAATTCAAACAGCACCCTCAAAACAGTGTGTTTCCTCCTGCCACTTCGCTGAAGAAGAGAATGTGTTGTATAAGTTTTTCCAGTGAAATTTTTGAAAAGATGAAAAATATGGTTTAAAACGCAGAAGGAACATGGGCCCCAGGGATCAGAGTCCTTTTTGGAAGAAATCTCAGTTTCCTCTGAGCCATTTTAGAGATATTCTATGTATAAACAAGCAAATACATACAGTATACAATTTTATTTTCACTCAAACCATTGTCTACCATTTTCACTCACGCATTTTTCTGCTTAAAATACTTGTGAGATTTTATATTGATACATAAAGAAATTTATCATTCATTTTAACATCTGCATAACTTTCTATTCCATAGATTTGACTTTGGGTTTTGAACATATGTCTTGTGGGGCACCTGGGTGGCTCAGTGGGTTAAAGCCTCTGCTTTCAGCTCAGGTCATGATCCCAGTGTCCTGGGATCGAGCCCCACATCGGGCTCTCTGCCCTGCAGGGAGCCTGCTTCCACCTCTCTCTCTATCTGTCTGCCTCTCTGCCTACTTGTGATCTCTGTCAAATAAATAAATAAAATCTTTAAAAAAAAAAAAAGAAAGAAAGAAAATACGTCTTGAAATCTGTTTTTCAATATTTGCTCTCTTCATTGGTTGGGTTTTCTCTTTTTTTATATTTAATTCTATTTTTTCAGTGTTCCAAGATTCATTGTTTATGCACCATACCCAGTGCTCCATGCAATACGTACACTCCTTAATACCCACCATCAGGCTCTCCCAACCCACCACCCTCCTCCCCTCCAGAATCCTCAGTTTGTTTCTCAGAGTTCACAGGTTCATCTCCCCCTCTGATTTCCCCGAACTCACTTCTCCTCTCCTTCACACAATGTCCTCTGTGTTATTCCTTATGTTCCACAAGTGAGTGGAACCATATGATAATTGACTCTCTCTGCTTGACTTATTTCACTCAGCATAATCTCCTCCAGTCCTGTCCATGTTGATACAAAAGTTGGGGGCTTTCTTCATTGAATGCATATAATGGCTCTCATTTGCCTTGTTCCCATATTTCTTTCTCCTCGGATATCCTTTTACTTTTCTCCTTATATTACCAATGTTTTATTATTATATTCAGTTACCCAACATATAGTACATTATTAGTTTTTGATGTAGCATTCAATGATTCATTAGTTGCATTTAACACCCAGTGCTCATCACAACACGTGCCCTCCTTAATACCCATCACCTTGTTACCCCATACCTCCATCTCCCTCCCTTCCATAACCCTCAGTTTGTTTCCTGGATTTCTTTGACAAGCATCCTTCAAAGCATCTTCTTTCATAAAGATAGAAGTGTTTTCTTGTTTTAATTTAAATTAAAGTCAGTTAACATACAGGGCATTATTAGTTTCAGAGGTACAGTGCACTGACTCATCACTTACATATAACACCCAGTGCTCATTACTTCACATGCTGTCCTTAATGTCCATCACCCAGTTGCCCCATCCTCCCACCCACCACTCCTCCAGCAACTCTCAGTTCATTTTCTAGAGTTGAGAGTCTCTTGTGCTTTGCCTCCCTCTCTGTTTTCATCTTACTTATTTTTCCTTCCTTTCTCCTGTGTTCTTCTGTTTTGTTTCTTATATTCCACATGAGTGAAATCATATGGTAGTCTTTCTCTGACTGACTTATTTCACTTAGCATAATACCCTCTAGCTCCATCCACATCATTGCAAATGGCAAGATTTCATTCTTTTTGATGGCTAAGTATATCCCATTGTATATTAACTTAATTTTGTCCATTTTTTAATTACTTTTCTCTGTATCTCTTAAACTGTGCTTCAATAGGATCCATTTTTAATATGACCTCTTTAAATTTTACCTTCATGACTATAGAGGTTTTTTTTTTTCTTCCATTTATTTACTGGGCTTTTGTAACACACAACTTCAGAAGATTTCTTTTCTCTGATGCCTTGTATCTCTGCTCCCACTTCTTGATTATAAAGGCAAGCACTTGCTTCCACGTTTTGATTTGGGGTAAATAATGTCACAACCTTCAACTGCTCCATGTTGACAATTATTTCGTGAGTAATCCTTGCTGACATTTTTTTTTCTTTCTTCCTCCTTTATTTCTTGTGATGTTTTGTATAGATCTTGTGTTTGTTCCTTTTGATCACTTAACTTTAAGGCAGATGGTGTTTCCCGGAGGAGTGATTTCCAAGATAAGCATGTAAAAACATGTTCAGGGCTATATTACAGGTTTTCATGGTTTTTATGTAAGTTTCTTTAAATTTATCTAAGCAAAATTAAAAGTCAGCAGTGGGGCTTTCACATCCAAAACCAGTTTTACTCCACAACTAAAGCCAAACTTCATCCTGCAAATATGGTCCTTATGTATAATTAAACACTTAGCTTCAACTTCTCTGAAACTTCAAACTGGTAGAAGGAGAGTCCTGTCCACACCATTCCCACTATTTTAATCATGAAACAGATTATTCACTTTTCCTCTGATCTGCATTTCCAGTCAATCTTCTCTGATTTCAGCATCTCTTCCAATTATTCCCTATTTTCAAAGAAAGTGGAAATGATGTTTTTGGTTTTCATTACACTTGTAACATTTGAACTATTTCCAAGAACAGGTGCGTGTGTGTGTGTGTGTGTGTGTGTGTGTGTGTGTGTGCATGAGCAAACTTTGGCCCATCATTTCCAATACCAAAATAATTAACTTTTTCTTTCAAAAAAGGATGTTCTTTAAAACTTGGTAAGTACTAGGATTTAGAATGAATCATTAACAAGGCAAGGGGAGTAGGGTAAATATGTATTTTTTCCCAGCCCAAGATTATAATTACTTTTTAGCTGAGCTGGTACAAATACTCATGAAGGTGATCTCATATCATTGGAATAGGTAGAACTGAAGCATCACTTCCAGAAGAACAACATGTAAAACAAATAAACTTAGTTTCACCATCAAAATACAACCCTAATATTCAAAGGCTTGATTATCTTGAAGGAGGAATATCCTGTCGCACAGGTACTGCTGAGTTTCTATGAGATTTACTTCTCTTCTAGACATCAGAACTTCCAGTAATTCATCTTGTTAAAAATTGACTTTATTGGGACAAATATTATTGCAATAAAAATCAGATTATAAGTGTATACTTCATGAGTTTTCCCAATTGTAAACACCCTGTATTACAACTCTCACTGAGCTATAGAACCCTTCCATCACCTCAGGAAGACCCTCAGTATACTCTCAGTGTTCCCATGCCTACCCACAGAAAACCACAGATTTCATTTTATTGCTATAGTTTACTTTTGACTCTCCCAGAGTCATTCAATAGAGTAGAATTATTCTCATTTGTGTCTGATTTCTTTTGCTCAACATTCTATGAGATTCTCCCAAGTTACTGTGTGTAACTGTACTTCATTCTTTTTATTGCTATATAACATCCCAATATATAACTATTCCACAAATTGTTTATGTGTCCTCCAGTTAATGGACATTTGCATTGTTTGCAGTTAGGGCTATGTTGAATAAAGCTGATATGAAGATTCTTTTTTTTTTTAAGATTTTATTTATTTATGACAGATAGAGATCACAGGTAGGCAGAGAGGCAGGCAGAGAGAGAGGAGGAGGAAGCAGGCTCTCTGCTGAGCAGAGAGCCTGATGCGGGGCTCAATCCCAGGACCCCAAGATCATGACCTGAGCTGAAGGTAGAAGCTTTAACCCACTGAGCCCCTCAGGCACCCCTGATATGAAGATTCTTAAACATTGTTTTTGTGGACACTTACTTTCATTTTTATTGGGTAAATACCCATAAATGGAATTGCTGAATCCTATGATAGGCGTATTTTAGCATTAGCGTATGTTTAACTTTATTTTTTAAAAAAATCCCAAGCTCCATTCCACAACAGTTGTTACCTTTTATATTCTGAGAGAGCAGTGTATGAGAATTCCAACTGCTCCATTTTGCTGGCATTTGGTACTAGCAGTTTTTTTTTTTAAGTTTTGCCAATCTAGTTGTGCTTTTAAAGATGTGACTGTGATCTCCTCATTGATGTGTCCCAGGAAGAGGATCCCATGATGGCTCTGATCACCTACCTGGGACTAGGCTGTCTCTGCTCTGCCTCCTCCTGGAAACCCTCACCTTCCTGCTCTGCAAAGCCATCCAGAACACCAGCACCTCACTCCACCTGTAGCTCTCAATCTACCTCTTTCTGGCCCACCTGCTCTTCCTCATGGCCATTGACCGGACTGAGATCAAGGTACTGACATTGTTACAAGAGGAGCCCCTGCACACTATTGGATGATCAGTTCATGGAGCACTGATAAAGATAGCCTTGGGTCCTGGGGATGTTAGAGGGGTAAGTAGCCTATTTCACATTGACTAATGAACTAGAAGACAAATCCTCTCCTGACAACTTGACCATATATATAAGTGTTCTCTCCAATGGCAAAGTATGGGAGAGGTCCTGGGGCCACCCTCCTCCCTGACAGTCCCCCCTCATGATACCTTTCTCTTCCCCCAAGTGCTGTGCGCCATCATTGTGGGTGCCTTACACTATCTCTACCTGGCTTCCTTCACCTGGATGCTGCTGGAGGGTCTGCATCTCTTCCTCACTGCACACAACCTGATGGTGGTCAACTACTCCAGTGTGAGCAGGGTGATGAAGAAGCTCATGTTCCCTGTGGGCTATGGAGTCCCAGCTATAATTGCTGCCATTTCTGCCTCATCCAGGCCTCACCTTTATGGAACACCCACCCAGTAAGTACAAATTCCCACTGTCTTTCCCTTCTCCAACATGACCATGGCCATCATAGAACCAATAGATATTCAATTCTACCAGAACATGATAGACACTGAAAATTCAGTGATCACTCCAAGGACTTCTACCTGATGAAAGACTGCAGTCATTGAAGTGACTGTTTTTTATTTAAGTCCTTAAGATTTAATGATTTTTTGGTTTCTTTAATTTTCATCCCATTTTTAATTTTATTTAAATTCAGTTAGTCAACTTATACTACATCATTAGTTTCATCCCATTTTATATTTTTCTTCTTCAATTTTTTTAATTTAAATTCCAGTCAGTTTACACACATTATTAATAGTAGTTCCAGGTTAGAATTTAGTAATTCACCACTTCCATACAATACCCGTGCTCATCACAAGTGCCCTCCTTAATCTCCATCACACATTTAAACTAACTCCCTACCTACTTCCCTCCATCAACACACAATTTGTTCTCTATAGTTAAGAATCTGCTTTCTGGTTTGCCCCTCTTTCTTCTTTTTCCCACTATGTTCATTTCTTTTGTTTCTTAAATTCCATACATGAATGAAATAATATGCTATTTGTCTTTCTCTGATATGATTTGATTATTTTAAGTATTAATTATGAAGAATACTATAATTGTGTAGTCTAAATTATGTTTTATATTAATAACTATATATAAAATATTAATAATTATAAATAAAATATAGTGATTATAGAGGAGGTGACTACTTTATATCTTTTAGATTTAATTATTTCATTTTTTGTGGGATAGAGAGGCTTTTTTTCTTAGTTTCATGGGCAGAATTTAATGATTCATCAGTAACATGCAACACCCAGAGATCATTACACGAGGTGCTCTTCTTAATGCACATCACACAATTACCCCATCCACCCATCCTCTGCTCCTCCAGCAACCTTCACTTTGTTTCTTTTCTTTTACTTTAAATATTTTTTGAAGTTTTATTTATTTTTTTAATTTCTTTTCAGTGTTCCAGAATTCATTGTTTATGTACCACAACCAGTGTTCCATGCAATACATGCCCTCTATCATCCCCAACACCAGGCTCACCCAACCTCCCACACCCAGCCACTCCAATATGCTCATGTTGTTTCTCAGAGTCCACAGTCTCTCATGGTTCATCTCCCCCTCCAATTTCCCCCAACTCTCTTCTCCTCTCCATCTCCCCATGTCCTCCGTGTTATGCCTTATGCTCCACAAGTAAGTGAAACCATGTGATAATTGACTATCTCTGTTTGACTTATTTCACTCAGCATAATCTCTTCCATTCCCATCCATGTTGATATAAAAGTTGGCTATTCATTCTTTCTGATGGAGGCATAATACTCCATAGTGTATATGGACCACATTTTCCATATCCATTCGTCTGTTGAAGGGCATCATGGTTCTTTCCACAATTTGATGACTGTGGACATTGCTGCTATGAACACTGGGGTACATATGGCCCTTCTTTTCACTCCATCAGTATCTTTGGGGAAATACCCAGTAGTGCAATGTCAGGGTCATAGGGAAGCTCTATTTTTAATTTCTTAAGGAATCCCCAACTATTTTCCAAAGTGGCTGCACCAACTTGCATTCACAGAAACAGTGTAAGAGGGTTCCCCTTTCTCCACATCCTCTCCAACACACGTTGTTTAACGTATTGTTAATTTTGGCCATTCTAACAGGGATGATGTGGTATCTCAATGTGGTTTTAATTTGAATCTCCCTGATGGCTAGTGATGATGAACATTTTTTCATGTGTCTGTTAGCCATTTGCATGTCTTCATTGGAAAAGTGTCTGTTCATATCTTCTGCCTATTTTTTGACATGATTATCTGTTTTTTGAGTGTTGAGTTTGAGAAGTTCTTTATAGATCCTGGATATCAGCCTTTTGTCTATACTGTCATTTGCAAATATCTTCTCCCATTCCATGGGTTGGCTCTTGATTTTGTTGACTGTTTTCTTTGCTATGCAGAAGCTTTTGATCTTGATGAAGTCCCAAAAATTCATTTTTGCTTTTGTTTCCTTTGCATTTGGAGACATATCTTGAAAGAAGTTCCTGTGGATTATGCTGAGTGAAATAAGTCAAGTAGAGAGAGTCAATTGTCATATGGTTTCACTTATTTGTGGAGCATAAAAAATAGCATGAAGAACAATGGGAGATGGAGAGGAGAAGGGAGTTGAAGGAAATTGGAAGGGGAGGTGAACCATGAGAGACTATGGGCTCTGAAAAACAATCTGAGGGTTTTGAAGGGGCAGAGGGTGGGTGGTTGGGGGAACAAGGTGGGGGGTGTTAGAGAGGGCATGGATTGCATGGAGCACTGGGTGTGTTACAAAAACAATGAATATTCTTACACTGCAAAGAAATAAAAAATTTTTAAAAAAGGAAGTTCCTGTGGGTGATATCAAAGAGGTTACTGCCTATATTCTCCTCTAGGATTCTGATGGATTCCTGTCTCACACTGAATCATTTATCCATTTCAAGTTTATCTTTGTGTATGGTGTAAGAAAATGGTGGAGTTTCATTCTTCTACATATAGCTGTCCAATTTTCTGAGCACCATTTATTGAAGAGACTGTCTTTTTTCCACTATACATTGTTTTTTCCTGCTCTGTCCAACATTATTTGACCATAGAGTTGAGGGTTCTTATCCGGGCTCTCTACTCTGTTGAATTGGTCTATATGTCTGTTTTTAATGTCAGCACCATACTGTCTTGGTGATCACAGCCTTGTGGTAAAGCTTGAAATCAGGCAACCTGATGCCCCCAGTTTTGTTTTTCTCTTTCAACATCTCCTTAGCAATTCGGGGTCTCTTCTGGTTCCATACAAATTTTAGGATTGTTTGCTCCAGCTCTTTGAAAAATGCCAGTGGAATTTTGATCAGAATGGCATTGAAAGGATAGATGGCTCTAGGCAGTATGGACATTTTAACAACGTTTATTCTTCTGGTCCATGAACATGGAATGGTCTTCCATCGTTTTGTGTCTTCTTCAATTTCTTTCATGGGTGTTCTGTAGTTCCTCGAGTACAGATCCTTTACCTCTTTGGTTAGGTTTATTCCCAGGTATCTTATGGTTCTTGGTGCTATAGTAAATGGAATCGATTCTCTAATTTCGCTTTCTGTGTTTTCTTTACTGTATAAGAAACCAACTGATTTCTGTACATTGACTTTGTATCCTGCCACATTACTAAATTGCTGTTTGAGTTATAGTAGATTGGGGGTGCAGTCGTTTGAGTTTTCCATATAAAGTATCACATCATCTGGGAAGAGAGAGAGTTTGACTTCTTCATTGCCAATTTGGATACCTTTTATTTCTCTTTGTTGTGTGATTGCTGTTGCGAGGACTTCTAATGCTATGTTGAACAAGAGTGGTGAGAGTGGGCATCCTTGTCATGTTCCTGATCTCAACAGGAAGGCTATCAGCTTTTTCCCATTGAGGATGATATTTGCTGTTGGTCTTTCATAGATAGATTTTATGAAGCTCAGGAATGTTCCCTCCATCCCTATACTTTGAAGCATTTTAATAAGGAATGAATGCTGTATCTTGTCAAATGCTTTTTCTACATCAATTGAGAGGGCCATGTGGTTCTTCTCTCTTCTCTTATTGATTTGTTCTATCATATTGATTGATTTGCAAATGTTGAACTATCCAGGCAACCCAGGGATGAGTCCCACCTGGTCATGGTGGATAATCTTTTTAATGTGCTGTTGGATTCTATTAGCTAGAATCTTGTTGAGAATCTTACCATCCATATTCATCAGTGATATTGGTCTGAAATACTCCATTTTGGTGGCTTCTTTGCCTGGTTTGGGGATCAGGGTAATGCTGGCTTCATAAAAATAATCGGGAAAGTTTCCTTCTGGTTCAATTTTTTGAAACAGCTTCAGGAGAATAGGTGTTATTTCTTCTTTGAAAGTTTGGTAGAATTCCCCAGGGAATCCATCAAGTCCTAGGCGCTTGTTTTTGGGAGGTTTTTAATCACTGCTTCTTGTTGCTATACATTGGGCTATTCAGGTTGTCAATTTCTCTAATTTGGGGAAGTTTGTAGATTTCGAAGAATGCATCCATTTCATCTAGGTTGCTTAGCTTATTTGCATCTGAGTGTTGATAATAACTTCTAATAATTGTTTCTATTTCCTTGGTGTTAGTCATGATATCTCCCTTTTTATTCATAATTTTATTAATTTGGGCTTTCTCTCTTTTCTTTTGGATTAGTTTGGCCAGTGGTTTACTGATCTTATTGATTCTTTCAAAATCCAGATTCGACTTTCATTGATGCATTCTACTGTCTGTCTAGTCTCTATCTCATCGATCTCTGCTCTAATCTGGATTATTTCCCTTCTTGTGTGTGGGGTTGGATTAATTTGTTGTTTATTCTCCAGTTCTTTAAGGTGTAAAGACAGCTGGTGTATTCTGGATTTTTCAATTTTTTTGAGGGAGGCTTGGATGGCTATGTATTTCCCCCTTAGGAGAGCCTTTTCTTTATCCCATAGCTTTTGGACCGAAATGTCTACATTGTCATTGGTTTCCAGGAATTGTTTCAGTTCTTCTTTGATCTCCTGGTTGATCCAAGCATTCTTTTTTTTAATTTTTTTAATCATTTTTTAACTTATTTTCAGCATAACAGTATTCATTGTACTTGTACCACACCCAGTGCTCCATGCAATCCGTGCCCTCTCTAATATCCACCACCTGGTTCCCCAACCTCCCACCCCCCCTTCAAACCCTTCAGAGTGTTTTTCAGAGTCCATAGTCTCTCATGGTTCACCTCCCCTTCCAATTTCCCCCAACTCCCTTCTCCTAACTCCCCATGTCCTCCGTGCTATTTGTTATGTTCCACAAATAAGTGAAACCATATAATTGACTCTCTCATCTTGACTTATTCCACTCAGCATAATCTCTTCCAGTCCCGTCCATGTTGCTACAAAAGTTGGGTATTCCTCCTTTCTGATGGAGGCATAATACTCCATAGTGTATATGGACCACAT